ACATTTCGGCCTTAGAATCGTCCGTAGATGCAATAGCCTTTGAGCTTTTATTTGAAATGCTTGCCGGAAGGTCATTACCCCCAGTTCTAACACGATTAATCCCACTCCAGAACTTTTGAGGAGTTTTTAAATGATCAGATAGTTCTGCCGGATGAGAGCGTTTACATTTTTGAAGATGCAAAATGAGACCGACCACCGATACGAAAGATACAAGATAAGAAACAGAATTTAGTTTTTACTTCTCAATTTTACTGAGAAATTAAACGGAGGTTTTATTCTTTAACTCAGATCTACATCTCACAATGGCTCTCCATACCCAAAAGTTTATGTGATTATATTCATGAACTTTGTTGTAGTCCAAACTATATCATCGCCGAATATTGAAACAATTTTATCTGAATCTGAACAAGAAAAGTTATATGCATTTATTTACTTTACAAATATCGATTCATCATGTACATCTGCTTCAACGATTCCAGAACAAATTACATATACATTAAGATTACAAGAGTATGTAGTTACTCTTTCTGTCTCTCTCTCTTTATCTTTACTACTTCTCACTGTGTGCCTGTCGCTGTATGTGCATAGGAACGGTGTCTTCAACTATCGTGCAGAGAAACGACTAGTTGATAAATTTGATATATTATGGAAAAATTCACCGGAATATTATTGTCAAAGTAAGAGAAAAGAAAAATATTCTATTTTATAAACACAAAGTTCTTGGTATTTTCCCGTTTATCGGCCACTTGTTTCTTTTTTTAGATATACAAAATACAGCAAATTATACCGATCAATTTCTTGGTCTACAATATTTAATTGATTTAGCAATTATAGAATATAGTACAACTATACCAATGAATGATTTATCAAATGTAAGTTAAAAGCTGGAGAATGGACAGGACTATTAGTGTGCTTGTCTTGAAAATACTAAAAGCACATTTCGTTAACAATCTTCCGCTTTCTACAATCTTTTGTTAGTCCAAACTCAAATCGTTCTGGGTTAGTATATTTACTATTCCCAATCTCACAAATCTGATAAAAACTGTCTTTGTAATATTCACTACATCAGGTAGATAGCATCGACACAAAAAACTATTGGTATGCTTTTTTCGATATATGCTTTTCTGTGACTATAGGTCAGAAAGTTGTTTTTGAAAACAATTCGGACAACTGCAAGGTCGTGTGTTGAATGAAAACTTTTTAGCCTCTAGAGCGACTACTTATACCATTTTGTATGGAAAATGACATGTTTTATCGATTTCTCTAGGAAACTATTCGGTGATGGAATCTTCGGAGGCACCAGATTCAGTATGTTATTGGCCTCATGCGCTGGCTATAACACAAAATGTGTCTGCAATTTGTCGTACTGTGAGGGAAACTCTATCAAAACAGAAAATTCTAATTTGATCCGAAAGAAAACTGCTGGAATTAGGATAATATTAATGAAATTCTCCAGTTATTCGTCGTTACTAAATGTAAAAGTCTGTTTCTACGGGGATTTTGTCGCATTTACATTAATAAATAATATATAAACCTAAGCAAGAGAAACTTCGATCTGCCCAATAACATCCGTTCATCGCTATACCAAATTTCTTCCGCTCTGGTCTTCTTGATAGTTCAGAACACTTCTAGTAGGACACTAAAAGAAGTATAGTTCTTCTGTAGTACAAATCCTACAAATTTCTAAAAACTTATTGTAAAAACCGGCAATTTGAAAGTCGAAAAGAGAGAACGATTGCTTTATATAACACCTTCCTACTCAAACCTGAATTAATGCGCGATCAAGCGATACAATTCAGAGTTGTAACCGGTTCGATCCGGCCGAACCGGATCGGTTGAGTTAGTTGGACCGACCGGTTTTTGCCGGTTCCACAAAGTCGTGCATATTCGTTCGTCTTTCAATTGAGCGTGAATATTGAGTAACTCGATAACGAGATTTTGAATAACTCATGAATGTTACTAGCTAGCGAGTTCGGGCCTTCGCCGTCGAATTGACGACATCTGGGGTCACCCAGGTATGTAGTAATAATAAAAACAATGAAAATTAAATACGACTTTTGTGCGAAGGAACCTTGTCTCATGCAGAAGAAACTCACTCTTGAAAATATTAGTTGGTTTTTTGATATCTAGAGTTCCAGTATAAGCATTACAGAAAAAAAACAGGTGTAAAAAATCTCTAGGTATTCAGAACAAAATTGTATCCGTAATATCAATTTTATTACCTGAAAAAGCTTTGTGAATTCGCTAGTTTTTATACAACTCAGGTACATTCTCTACGTACTTTGTCTTCTTTGTTTGTCGGTCAGATCCATTTAAATCATTTTGGTTGTCCATCCTATTATTTTGATCCATTACACAGTGCAAATAATTTTTTTATAAATATCTTATTATCGTTAGTATTTATGAAAACATTTCTACAGACACTTGGATGTATTGTTGAAGATCGTGAACAAAAACTTAAAGAATATTTACGTTTATTTGGTTTAAATACAATTATAAACAATTTTATTTGGTTTACACGTACACTTTTAATTAATATCTATTTATGTATTCTATGCACAATATTTACAGTTGCAATACGTTTACCATCAAATCATGATGAAGAGAATAGTGTTTCAACAGCAGTATTTAATACAACACATTGGACAGTAATATTAACAATGTTTTTTGTGTAAGTTAAATTTATTGATGCAAGTAACATCCTAACAAGTGTTTATTCACTTTTTGTATAGATACTCAGTACAAATATCTGCATTTACTATATTCTTTGGACAATTATTTACCAAACGTAAGTTTCTGATCTGCGAAATTCCTACTACGACACGTACCTCCTGTAGAATGCAGTTTGCGAATGGTTAGCAAAAGTCTTGTTCCTTGTAAATTAACGTGTGTTTATGTTTGATTGACTAAACTACGTAGTATGTAGTAGAATTCTGAAACTATGCAAGTATCAGAGGTTTTTGTCTAAGGAAAGGAACACTAATTGAAGGATAAAATTCCCTACCAGAGAGTTTATCCAATCAAGTCTATAAAATATCATCCAAGTCGATCCAATCTGACTTGATGAGTTTCAAAATGATGCTCGAACAGATAAACACCCAAACAATTCTCAAAAAGCTTTTTTCTTTCTTCCGTACACCCTGCCACTTTATAACTTGTGTTTTCTTTGTCCCACCACTATACAGCATTAACAGCAAAAATTATTGGCTTTGCATTGTGGATATTAACATTTATTGATTATTATCAAACTGTACCAGTTGGTGTTAAGTATTTTATGACAATCTTTCCCAATACAGCTCTTATATTTATCATACAAGTTATATTACAATATGAACGAAAGAGCTGTAAGTCGAACACTGACCCTTTGTTTAGAAAGCACAGAAGCAGGTGTGAACAACCGTTTGTCCGGTAAAAAGACATAACTTAGGGCTTCACCACACTGCAGCAATGTACATACACTTTGAAGAGCACACCAAACTTTTAAATTCAAGTTATAACACGAAAAATTATTGACCGGAGCTTTGCGGCGCATTTTACCTTTGGACCTTGACTTTGTCTGTTACAGTGTGGCAACTTTCCCCTTCATTTTCAAATATATATGTTACAAGCAAAATTAGAATTCAGTCAAATTTAAAATTCTCCCTAGATAACATTGAAATTCTACTTTTGCCTACAGTTTCTTTAGTCAAAATTAAAATTTTAGATTTGCCCAGGCAGATTTTAAATTCCACTAGGCAAAAGTCAAATCTAATTTTTCCTAGACAAATTTTAAAATTTGACTGAAATTCTTTAGTCAAAATCAGATTTCTAAATTTGCCTGACTAATTTTCGTGGGAAAGTTGAAATTCTATCCATGAATAGGCATGCAACAATAACGAAATCATCAGTTTATCTTACCTTACCGAAAATCGTCCCATACCGATAAGCGTTATCGGACAAAATATGATAAATACGATATAATTAGCTAATGTTAAAAAATTAACATTTAAGCTAAACTTATGATCAGAGTACGGAGATACTCCTGTTCATAAATTCTCTAGACAATCCTCATTTCTTCTGTGCACTATAGGGACTTGGAGATGCTATATTAATTTTAAACATTTGTAATAAAAAAAACATTTAAATTTAAACAAATATGTTCTGTCGCACTGGTAGACTCTACCTTTTTGTTGACTCATGGAAATTACGAGCATCAGATGGTATCACAAGATTTCTACTATGTCTCGTAGAATTGTTCACGTAGATCTCTAATTATGCGAATACTGTTCATCGTCCAGTCAATTTCAGTTTTCCCTTGAAAACTAGTCAGGCAAATTTAGAATTCTAATTTTGCCTGTGACATATACTTGTCTTTGCTCCTTTTATCGGACAGATCCATCATTAACATACAATAAATTATATTCAAATTTATTTGCCGAAATTTATCCGTTGTATATTGGTTTAATAATGGTGATAATGTTAATATGGTCTGTTATCTATATATTATTATCTATTTATATTGAACGTATTAATCCCGGAAAATTTGGCGTTGGTGAACCATGGTATTATATTTTTAATAAAGTACGTAGAGAATCAGATAATAGAGAGGGAAGCGGCAAAACTATCATTATGCAGACGGAATATTAGGTTTTCTGTTGTTGATATAGTTATGGTGAGAATTACAATTGAGAATTAAATCCATATGATGCTCGTGTTTTTGCATATATATAAAAAAGTTTCAGTCACTATATTTTTCTATCTTTTTTTGAAGTCTAAAAAACAGTCAGTACAAAATCAGTTCAGTACTAGTGAACAAATACATACAGTTGTACTGAATGAAGAAGTACAAGAAGAAGAAGAAACGGTAGCGAGAAAATGGTTAGAATCATCACCGAAATCAGCGGTAGTCGGAGTATCAATACAAAATTTAACCAAAGTAAGTTAACAGATGAGAAAGAAAAATTTTCTATCAGATAATATCTGCATTATTTTCCAAATTTAAATCCAGACATTTGGTAAATTTAAAGCTGTATCAAATTTGTCATTGGACTTTTATGAAAATGAAGTCTGCTGTTTACTTGGTCACAATGGTGCTGGTATGAATTATAGATTATTACCTTCATTTTAGCATGATTTCGTTGAGAGAGTTAAAAACAGGTCCCTGTAGAATGCACATAAAAAAAAATATGTTAAAAAAAAAAGTTTGAAGGACGTTCGTCTCGCGCCTCTGAATTATAGTTCTTTGTGTCTGTTTGCTAGCGTTCGATGTGTTATTAATTATATGTGAAGGAACTTCGGTATAACTGCCATACAAAAACTTCGATAGACTTTCAGGTAATCAATGAACAGCAGGCACCTGTCTCTTTTCATCCATACTGCACTGTACTCAGACATGTGCGCCGATAAAAAATTTTCGGCGGCGGCGAATGAAACTTTTACAATGGGCGGCGGCGGTGCGAGGTTATGAAAATTTTCTCCGCCTTCGGCGGCGGCGTGTAAAAATTAGTTATCGGCGGCGAATCTCATAATTTAAGTAAAACAACGATCTCTTTCATTTCTAGCACTTTCTTGCGCCCCGACTGTATCTGTACGTTGCCGTATGCGAAAAGATAGAAAAGCGCTGCACGCTAGATGTCTATGATAAGAAACAAAAATAGTCAAAATTTTCGGAAAAAATTTTCTCCGCCCTCGGCGGCGACAAGAGTTTAACGACATGGCGGCGGCGGCGGAAATCAGAACAGTTTTTCTGCGCTGTCAGCGGCGGCGGCGGAAGTCGCAATAATTTTTCTCCGCCATTAGTGGCGCCGGCGCGCATCTCTGACTGTACTTTCTTTCATTTAACAAAGTTAAAGGTTCAAAAAATTATCGTATATTATTATGAGTCTCTCTTCATATCGCTTTCTTCGATCTATGGAAACGCATATCAATAAGTATAAACAGTGATGAACTGACGTGAGTTGTGAAAACGACTTCGAGGGATCACTTCGAAAATCAACGACTGTAGATAAATCTTCGATTTATACTGATCGTTTTCTATTTTACTTTATTGTCTGTTATAGGTAAAACTACTACGACATTTTTACTCGTTGGTAAGGATTTTACTTTTTGAACACACTTATTTTAGGTAATTCTGTTATATCAATGTCATATTATACATACACTAGGTTTATTGGAACCTACATCTGGCAGAATATTATTAAACAATCTTGATACTAGACAAAATTTAATTCAAATACGAAAAAATATTGGCTTTTGCCCACAATTTGGTAAGTTTTACATTTCTTGATAGATATCACATTTGGACGGAATAAATTTTTGTTTATCTACCAAATAGATATACTATACGATGATTTAACTGTCAATGAACATTTGAAATTAATTGCAAAAGTAAGTTAAAATCATCTTTTTCAAGGTAAACGAACGATCGGTGAACTTTATTTATTTTTATGTGCCATTTAGATTCGTCATCTATCAGTCGATGACGTATTATTATCGACCAGAAATATTCTATCATTAATCGATCTCACTAACGATAGTCAAACATTGTCAAAAAATTTATCCGGTGGCATGAAACGACGATTGAGTATCGGAATGTCATTAGTTGGTCAACCGAAAATATTAATATTTGACGAACCAACCAGCGGCATCGGTAAGCGCATTAAAATTTTAATAAAAAATCCTACTTATTTTACAATTTTTTCGTAATGTTAAAAGGCAAAAGGAAAGCTTTAAATTGAAAATGTGTGTGTGTGTTTGTTTATTTGCCAAATGTAAAGAAACATATAGCCGGTGTCCAAGATGACCGAGAAAAAAATTGAAAACGTCTTTGGATGAGTTGCTTTGCGTCCAGGGTTCATTCATACTTGTGATGAAAGTAACAACACTACTATCGATCCATAAATACAGTGCAGAGTGGCGTTTTTCAAATAACTTTTTATGGAAAAGTCCTAGCGATCTACGGTTTTTACCATCGTGTAGAGGACGATTTTTGCCCTTAGAAAAATAGTAAGCCCCACAAGGTGCACCACCTGTAGGTGGTAAGCCTTATCGAT